TATTTGATATGCCTCCATGCGTGTATTTGATATGCCTCCATGCGTGTATTTGATATGCCTCCATGCGTGTATTTGATATGCCTCCTTCCGATAGTACGGACCTGATACCGACTTTGTGTGCTATCTGATTCCACTCAGTTACATTTAACTGACAACTAGTTAACCAGTTCTGTCGATCGCCCTAAATGCTGAATGTTTAGAAGGGGATACTATTTATTAATTTAAGGAATATGGTACGTCTCGGCCATAGGATAGGTGGAACCCATTGCCTTCCTCATTTGGGCAAACGTTCGACACCAAGTTGAAAAGTGAGGCACTGCCAAGCTTGCGGCTAGGTTAAAGTACGCTGTTATGAAACAGAGAGAACAAAATAAAGACAGCAATGAGTACAGCAGATTTATTTTTGGTCGTTTTTGTGTTCTAAAGAAGAGGCCACAAAAGGCACATTATCAATTCTGCATGGAGCTCTTATAGTTTTGGCTCTTACAACACACATTGGGTAACAGCAGCTATATTCTCTTCTCAACCGCCGAGCTACAAGGGTAAAAACAACACCTCGATCTACAACTGGGAATTACTACGATCGAAGCCGAGTCAGTGTAACATCTATGGTTCCCAACCTTCAGTACAACCATTTCCTTTCAGATGGCGATAAAGCTAATGCATTCACACAAGATCAAACAATAGACACTTGCTTTTCTAGCAGTGCTATATCTGGTAGCCAGTGACTCGTGGATGAGGGGAGCCACAGATACTTGTACCACAATCCAGGAAATATGTTAACCAGCCATCCTTCCTCCTGAGAACTCTCAGAGATTGGAACACGAAGTCTGCATCAGCTGCCAATGCAGGGAGCCAGATGTTCTGGGACCATCTCGGGAAGCTGTGTTTGTTGGTTGGCGTTTAACGTCCTTACAGCTATGTAATGTGAAGACGGATGATTAAGGAGATGCCACCAAAAAGGAGAAGATATAGATCCCGAGAGTTACGATGGAGCACCGGATCAAGTTTGGTTTTCTCGATGTCTCTTGATTGAGGAACACCTAGGGCTGTATTCATTAAACCATTCTCATGCTCAAGCATGGATTCTGGGCTCGGATTTCTTGTAGCTCACTTAAATCATGTCAAAAGATCAAAAAGTCAAATGTAATCATTGACAATAGTACTCAGCTGTAATTCTCTTCAGTCTTTTTCCGAATCATTGACGAAATAATGTTTTTATTGATTTATAACCAGAACAAGAAATTAGACTTGAGCACAAAATCCATGCTTGAGCATGTGAATGGTTTCATGAATACAGGACATGTACTGCCTGTATGGGATGTGTGGGATATGTGTTGTACCCCTTTATAAATTGTACCTATGGCCAGTAACTCCTTGAGGGGCTCTCCTGACAAGCTCAATGGTAGAGTTTAACACTGTAACATGAAATAACTCTTAATGGAAGAAAAAGAAACTTACACAACACTTTGAAGCTTTTTAATAGTTTTACATGAAATTCTGACATCTACAGAACATCACATTCATCCACAACAGGCTTGGAGATCTTCTACAACATAGTAAATATATAGCACTTTAAATAGGGCCTAATTTCAAGACAATAAGAGGCCAACAATTAGACTGGACGTAACAGATTATTAATGTAACACCCTGTAACATTGCTGAAGAAAAACTGTTCTTCTAAAAACGTTTGCTTGAAGAGTCAGACTAACAAGGGTTCAACTGAATATCAAAACATGTTGACTAGATATTTTTTATTGACGTCTATTATGGAGTATGTCCTCCTAAACGCCATGTTGTCAGACAATGTCTTCAATGTCAAGTAAATATCTGATTCAGTCGCTATCCTCCTCCGACGATTCTTCCTCAGCCTCCTGTAGCCACTTTATGAATGGTTGCATCTGTAACACAAAACAGCGCTATACAATGACTTGGCCTTTATTATGCAATGACTTGCAATGACTTGGCCTTTATTATAAAATGACTTGGCCTTTATTATACAATGACTTGGTCTTTATTATACAATGACTTGGCCTTTATTATACAATGACTTGGCCTTTATTATACAATGACTTGGCCTTTATTATGCAATGATTTGGCCTTTATTATAAAATGACTTGGCCTTTATTATGCAATGATTTGGCCTTTATTATACAATGACTAGGTCTTTATTATACAATGACTTGGCCTTTATTATACAATGACTTGGCCTTTATTATACAATGACTTGGCCTTTATTGAACAATGAGTTGGCCTTTATTATACAATGAGTTGGCCTTTATTGAACATGAGTTGGCCTTTATTATACAATGAGTTGGCCTTTATTATACAATGACTTTTATTATACAATGACTTGGCCTTTATTATACAATGACTTGGTCTTTATTATACAATGACTTGGCCTTTATTATACATTGACTTTTATTATACAATGACTTGGCCTTTATTATACAATGACTTGGTCTTAATTATACAATTACTTGGCCTTTATTATACATTGACTTTTATTATATAATGACTTTGCATTTATTATACAATGACTTGGCCTTTATTATACATTGACTTTTAGTATACAATGACTTGGTCTTTATAATACAATGACTTGGCCTTTATTATAAAATGACTTGGCCTTTATTATACAATGATTTGGTCTTTATTATGCAATGACTTGGCCTTTATTATACAATGACTTGGCCTTTATTTTACAATGACTTGGCCTTTATTATACAATGACTTGGCCTTTATTGTACAATGACTTGGCCTTTATTATACAATGACTTGGCCTTCATTATGCAATGACTTGGCCTTTATTATACAATGACTTGGCTTTTATTAAACAATGACTTGTCCTATATTTTAGAATGACTTGGCCTTAATTATGCAATAACTTTGCCTTTATTATACAATGACTTATATTGTAGACAGCTGCTGGTATAGCATAAACCTACATTATTTAGAGAACCATTCAGTACCAATTTCAGGACTCAATCAATCTCCCCTGTAACTTGTGATAGGATAATTAAGTATCAGCTTTGGGACTGTGACCCTCGACCTTGTGACAGAACCAGATAGAATCAGCTGTGAGATGTCCCTCTCTCCAACTCTTAACTTTGGTGGCTAGATGGAACTTACTTACCTTTGCCCAATTTGGTCCAGGTTCAACTCCCTGATCTGATACAATGATACTGGTATATCGAGTCACCTGAGTGACCACATGTGTTTCACCCCACATTAAGACGTACCTCTGTTACTTCCATTCAGGCCAAATAGAGATTTTAATAGGAATTGGATTTTTTTTTTTTATAACTGTTCAAAAATAAAACTAATTTAACATTTCGCTTGATACATAACCATTCAGTATCAGCTTTTGAACTGTGTTCTACAAACCTGGGTTAAAATATCTTAGACAAAACCAGTCAGAAGGTCTCCCTCTAACATGGACAGGTCGCCCTCTAACATGGACAGAAGGTCTCCCTCTAACATGGACAAGTCACCCTCTTACATGGACAGAAAGTCTCCCTCTAACATGGACAGGTCACCCTCTAATATGGACTGGTCACCCTCTAATATGGACAGGTCGCCCTCTAACATGGACAAAAGGTCTCCCTCTAACATGGACAGAAGGTCTCCCTCTAACATGGACAAGTCACCCTCTTACATGGACAGAAAGTCTCCCCCTAACATGGACAGGTCACCCTCTAATATGGACTGGTCACCCTCTAATATGGACAGGTCGCCCTCTAACATGGACAAAAGGTCTCCCTCTAACATGGACAGAAGGTCTCCCTCTAACACGGACAGAAGGTCACCCTCTAACATGGACACAAGGTCTCGCTCTAACATGGACAGATGGTATCCCTCTAACATGGACAGATGGTCGGCCTCTAACATGGACAGCAGGTCACCCTCTAACATGGACAGAAGGTCTCCCTCTAACACGGACAGAAGGTCACCCTCTAACATGGACAGAAGGTCTCCCTCTAACATGGACAGAAGGTCACCCTCTAACATGGACAGCAGGTCACCCTCTAACATGGACAGAAGGTCTCCCTCTAACACGGACAGAAAGTCTCCCTCTATCATGGACACAAGGTCTTGCTCTCACTGGACAGAAGGTGTCATTCTAACATGGACAGATGGTCTCCCTCTAACATGGACAGAAGGTCTTCCTCTAACATGGACAGAAGGTCTCATTCTGACACGGACAGAAGGTCTCCCTGTAACATGGACAGAAGATCTCCCTCTAACATGGACAGATGGTATCCCTCTAACATGGACAGAAGGTCTCCCTCTAACAAGGACAGAAGGTCTCATTCTAACACGGACAGATGGACGCCCTCTAACACGGACAGAAGGTCTCCCTCTAACATGGAAAGAAGGTCTCCCTCTAACATGGACAGAAGGTCTCACTCTGACACGGACAGAAGGTCTCCCTCTAACATGGACAGAAGGTCTCCCTCTAACATGGACAGAAGGTCTCATTCTGACACGGACAGAAGGTCTCCCTCTAACATGGACAGAAGATCTCCCTCTAACATGGACAGATGGTATCCCTCTAACATGGACAGAAGGTCTCCCTCTAACATGGACAGAAGGTATCCCTCTAACACGGACAGAAGGTCTCCCTCTAACATGGACAGAATGTCTCATTCTAACACGGACAGAAGGTCTCCCTCTAACATGGACAGATGGTCGCCCTCTAGCATGGACAGATGGTCGCCCTCTAACATGGACAGAAGGTCTCCCTCTAACATGGACAGATGGTCTCCCTCTAACATGGACAGAAGGTCTCCCTCTAACATGGACAGAAGATCTCCCTCTAACATGGACAGAAGGTCGCCCTTTAACATGGAAAGAAGGTCTCCCTCTAACATGGACAGAAGGTCTCCCTCTAACACAGACAGAAGGTCGCCCTCTAACATGGACAGAGGGTCTCCCTCTAACATGGACAGAGGGGCTCCCTCTAACATGGACAGAGGGTCTCCCTCTAACATGGCCAGAGGGTCTCCCTCTAACATGGACAGAAGGTCTTCCTCTAACATGGACAGAGGGTCTCCCTCTAACATGGACAGAGGGGCTCCCTCTAACATGGACAGAAGGTCTCCCTCTAACATGGACAGAAGGTCTCATTCTAACACGGACAGAAGGTCGTCTCTAACATAGACAGAAGGTCTCCCTCTAACATGGACAGAAGGTCTCATTCTAACACGGACAAATGGTCGCCCTCTAACACGGACAGATGGTCGCCCTCTAACACGGACAGAAGGTCTCCCTCTAACATGGACAGAAGGTCACCCACTAACATGGACATAAGGTCTCGCTCTAACTGGACAGAAGGTCTTCCTCTAACATGGACAGATGAGGAAAGTTTCAACTTTCAAACTCACTGTCTATTAATTTAAAAAAATGTATTTTTTTCTGATATATTTTCAAAATGCTTTTATTTGGAACATTGGAGAGTGAAATCTTGAAAGAACTAAATAATATCCATAGATAATGAAAGTTAACCAAATGCAGTCAGTCTCACCTGTTGTTTAACGTCTAGGTGACCTTCCTCGTCAGGTATAGACTTATGCCAGCGTACGATCACCTGTTCTGACAGCAAGTCGATGTCCTCGTACATGTAATGTATTAGCTTCATCAGTACCCCACTTATCTGCTCGTCCATTATACTGAACTCCTGACAAACAGTAACACACATAGGATATTAGGAATTGGGATTTTAAATTATTTTGAAAGTCAGTAATATTGCAAGGGAAGTAACTGTGTTTGGATGTGTTAACATTTACTTTATTTTATCATACATATATTTTTCTCCTAATTTTGCAAGAATTATCGCTTTTGGAGACAAAATCTCTTTTCTGAAGATTTTTACCTCAAATCTTCATCTTTTAAGAATTTTTCCTCTGTCTCTACTTTTAAAAGAATAAAGTCATCTATATCCCTTTTATGAATAATTTCTCTACTTTTACACAACGAATTCAGAGACTACATATGTACACTACGAGATCAGAGACTACATATGTAGACCATGAGATCAGAGACTACATATGTACACTATGAGATCAGAGTCTACATATGTACACTATGAGATCAGAGACTACATATGTAGACCATGAGATCAGAGACTACATATGTGCACTATGAGATCAGAGACTACATATGTACACTATGAGATCAGAGACTACATATGTACACTATGAGATCAGAGACTACATATGTACACTATGAGATCAGAGACTACATATGTACACTATGAGATCAGAGACTACATATGTACACTATGAGATCAGAGACTACATATGTACACTATGAGATCAGAGACTACATATGTACACTATGAGATCAGAGACTACATATGTACACTATGAGATCAGAGACTACATATGTACACTATGAGATCAGAGACTACATATGTACACTATGAGATCAGAGACTACATATGTACACTATGAGATCAGAGACTACATATGTACACTATGAGATCAGAGACTACATATGTACACTATGAGATCAGAGACTACATATGTACACTATGAGATCAGAGACTACATATGTACACTATGAGATCAGAGACTACATATGTACACTATGAGATCAGAGACTACATATGTACACTATGAGATCAGAGACTACATATGTACACTATGAGATCAGAGACTACATATGTACACTATGAGATCAGAGACTACATATGTACACTATGAGATCAGAGACTACATATGTACACTATGAGATCAGAGACTACATATGTACACTATGAGATCAGAGACTACATATGTACACTATGAGATCAGAGACTACATATGTACACTATGAGATCAGAGACTACATATGTACACTATGAGATCAGAGACTACATATGTACACTATGAGATCAGAGACTACATATGTACACTATGAGATCAGAGACTACATATGTACACTATGAGATCAGAGACTACATATGTACACTATGAGATCAGAGACTACATATGTACACTATGAGATCAGAGACTACATATGTACACTATGAGATCAGAGACTACATATGTACACTATGAGATCAGAGACTACATATGTACACTATGAGATCAGAGACTACATATGTACACTATGAGATCAGAGACTACATATGTACACTATGAGATCAGAGACTACATATGTACACTATGAGATCAGAGACTACATATGTACACTATGAGATCAGAGACTACATATGTACACTATGAGATCAGAGACTACATATGTACACTATGAGATCAGAGACTACATATGTACACTATGAGATCAGAGACTACATATGTACACTATGAGATCAGAGACTACATATGTACACTATGAGATCAGAGACTACATATGTACACTATGAGATCAGAGACTACATATGTACACTATGAGATCAGAGACTACATATGTACACTATGAGATCAGAGACTACATATGTACACTATGAGATCAGAGACTACATATGTACACTATGAGATCAGAGACTACATATGTACACTATGAGATCAGAGACTACATATGTACACTATGAGATCAGAGACTACATATGTACACTATGAGATCAGAGACTACATATGTACACTACGAGATCAGAGACTACATATGTACACTATGAGATCAGAGTATACATATGTACACTATGAGATCAGAGACTACATATGTACATTATGAGATCAGAGACTACATATGTACACTATGAGATCAGAGACTACATATGTATACTATGAGATCAGAGACTACTTATTACACTATGAGATCAGAGACTACATATGGACACTACGAGATCAGAGACTACTTATGTACACTATGAGATCAGACACTACTTATGTATACTACCTCTAACATCTGTAAACAATCCAGCTGTGAATCAGCACCCTTGATGTAGTTCTTTATTAATGTCAGATTCCTCTTCATATGCTAAAAAATAAGGTTGTACACATTAAATTCAGAAAGCAAGGAATTCTGATTCTAATTTACTGGAGATCCAACACAACATTTGATTGGTTAATCAAAATAATTGGCAACTGTATAACCATGATATACTGCCTGCATACTTTTTATCTGCATGTGAAGCCTGAATGGTTATCCTTAATGATGTCATTGACCCTAAAACAAGATGAAATAAATAATTTAATGATGTCTTAAACAATTATGTGACCACCAAAAGTTCATGTTATTTTACTCAATTTCCTTTCTATGTTATTGGACCCTGTTCTCTGTCCCTTTCCAGTAGGGCCATACCCATCATTAATCAGGTTCACAGCATAAGGTCCCCTTAGCCAGGTGATGCTTCTGACCATTATTGGTTTAGGGTTTTCTTTTAAAGATATATCTTTATTTCTCCTATTGGGTCCTGACCCTTTATCCCCTGAAGTGTCCATATCCCTTTATTTATGCATAACTGAATCCCCTTGGTCCAGTGATCTTTTAAACAGACTTTGGTTAAAAACTGCTCTGCAGATCAGGAGAAGTAGGCTTTTAAAGGAAAACGTTGATTGACAGATAATGGATGAAAAGGACAGAGGACAGAGGAATGACGGTATGACAAGGATAATGGTTTGTAAAGGCAGCACAGCTGTTTCACTCACTGTTTTAATGTTGGTGAGCAGTTGGATGCCTTTTTCGTCAGGATTTTCTTTCATACCAAGGTCTACTACAGCCTTCACCACCATACCATGAAGGTCATGTATGTCTATGTTATATGCATGTCTGTGTAAAATAAAGGCAAAACGAAAGTCACTATATTTTAATATCAACACAAGATACAATTGGTTGTTGTAAAGATATGCAATGAAATTAATGAAGAACACAGATATTGTTTTATTGTTTTTAGAGCAAAAAAGTTAAAACATAGTCATTTTGGATCAATGACAGCAACCTCAGTATCAGATAGATGAATACTGCTCAACCAGCATCAGTACCAACAAAGTTGGATATTCCTCAACCATTTTAGCAACAACAGGCCCAATGAGTCTTTAGCACTCACCTCTTATTCAATGATGTTGGCAAGAAATGGTTGTTTCAAATGTTTTTGATACATAAGACCCATGTTAACTTGAAGAATGATAAAAGCATGCTTATGACCAAATATTATCACCCTAGCCTTATTGGTCATACGGAAGAAGTTGTTTAAATGTAAAAAGGTGAAGCCACATGGACAAATGGATGCCTTAAGGTATAAGCCCTATGGACTACCAACCATTGCATAAACTCGCTCAGGCCTTTGGCCAGGTCTGGAGAGTATACAGTAAGTCATGTTTCTTATTTACTTTCTCACCTACATAAAACATCAAATTAACAGTATACTTACTTTAATGAATTGATCTCTAAAATCAAATTTTCTGTCCTGATATTTTCTTCTCTAGCTCTGACTAAAGTGTCTAGTACTTCTCTGTAGAACACTGGAACGATAACAACAAATACTGTATTACTACCACAGGTATTACACTACATCGATCACTACCACAGGTATTACAGTGTGTAGACTGGAACGATGACAACAAATACTGTATTACTACCACAGGTATTACACTACATCACTACCACAGGTATTAGTGTGTAGACTGGAAAGATGACAACAAATACTGTATTACTACCACAGGTATTACAGTGTGTAGATTGGAAAGATGACAACAAATACTGTATTACTACCACCGGTATTACAGTGTATAGACTGGAAAGATAACAACAAATACTGTATTACTACCACAGGTAATACAGTGTGTAGACTGGAACGATAACTACAAATACTGTATTACTACCACATGTATTACACTCCATTACTGATACAGGTATTAGTGTGTAGACTGGAAAGATGACAACAAATACTGTATTACTACCACCGGTATTACAGTGTATAGACTGGAAAGATAACAACAAATACTGTATTACTACCACAGGTATTAGTGTGTAGACTGGAACGAGGACAACAAATACTGTATTACTACCACAGGTATTAGTGTGTAGACTGGAACGAGGACAACAAATACTGTATTACTACCACAGGTATTAGTGTGTAGACTGGAACGAGGACAACAAATACTGTATTACTACCACAGGTATTACAGTGTATAGACTGGAAAGATAACAACAAATACTGTATTACTACCACAGGTATTAGTGTGTAGACTAGAATGATAACAACAAATACTGTATTACTACCACAGGTAATACAGTGTGTAGACTGGAACGATAACAACAAATACTGTATTACTACCACAGGTAATACAGTGTGTAGACTGGAACGATAACTACAAATACTGTATTACTACCACATGTATTACACTACATTACTGATACAGGTATTAGTGTGTAGACTGAAAGATGACAACAAATACTGTATTACTACCACCGGTATTACAGTGTATAGACTGGAAAGATAACAACAAATACTGTATTACTACCACAGGTATTAGTGTGTAGACTGGAACGAGGACAACAAATACTGTATTACTACCACAGGTATTACACTACATCACTACCACAGGTATTAGTGTGTAGACTGGAAAGATGACAACAAATACTGTATTACTCCCACAGGTATTACAGTGTGTAGACTGGAATGATGACAACAAATACTGTATTACTACCACAGGTATTACAGTGTGTAGACTGGAACGATAACAACAAATACTGTATTACTACCACATGTATTACACTACATTACTGATACAGGTATTAGTGTGTAGACTGGAAAGATGACAACAAATACTGTATTACTACCGCAGGTATTACAGTGTGTAGACTGGAACGATAACAACAAATACTTTATTACTACCACAGGTATTACAGTGTGTAGACCGGAAAGATGACAACAAATACTGTATTACTACCGCAGGTATTACAGTGTGTAGACTGGAACGATAACAACAAATACTGTATTACTACCACAGGTATTACACTACATCGATCACTACCACAGGTATTACAGTGTGTAGACTGGAATGATGACAACAAATACTGTATTATTACCACAGGTATTACAGTGTGTAGACTGGAACGATAACAACAAATACTGTATTACTACCACAGGTATTACAGTGTGTAGACTGGAATAATAACAACAAATACTGTATTAATACCACAGGTATTACACTACATTACTGATGACTTGGAGATTTCTGTATTTTAGAAAACTCATCAGTACAGGTATCTGTACATCATCACATCAAGATAAAACAATGAAATATCCAGTAAAAAGTAAAAGTTCTACCTACTCTTTTCATCGTCTGGAAGTGACCCCTCAGATGACAAATCAGATTGGTCGTCAGTAGCAATGCTGCTAAGTTCGTCCTCATCGTCTGTCTTGTTGTCCTGGCCCCACACGTCGTGAACCTGGGCCTCATCCTCCTCATCATCACTCTCCGTCGGGGGGCTGTAAACATAGGCTTGACCACGGGACCCGAAGTCTGGGCAGCTCTCAACTACAAAGTAAACAGTAAACATGAGACAGCTCTCCACTACAAAGTAAACAGCAAACATGAGACAGCTCTCCACTACAAAGTCAACAGTAAACATGAGACAGCTCTCCACTACAAAGTAAACAGTAAACGTGAGACATCTCTCCACTACAAAGTAAACAACACTACACTGAACAGGTCTGCTTCTAAAAATGAGACAGCTCTCCACTACAAAGTAAACAGCAAACATGGGACAGCTCTCCACTACAAAGTCAACAGTAAACATGAGACAGCTCTCCACTACAAAGTAAACATCACTACACTGAACAGGTCTGTTTATAAACATGAGACAGCTCTCCACTACAAAGTAAACAGCAAACATGGGACAGCTCTCCACTACAAAGTCAACAGTAAACATGAGACATCTCTCCACTACAAAGTAAACAACACTACACTGAACAGGTCTGCTTCTAAACATGAGACAGCTCTCCACTACAAAGTAAACAGCAAACAAGAGACAGCTCTCCACTACAAAGTCAACAGTAAACATGAGACATCTCTCCACTACAAAGTAAACAACACTACACTGAACAGGTCTGCTTCTAAAAATGAGACAGCTCTCCACTACAAAGTAAACAGCACTACACTGAACAGGTCTGCTTATAAGCATGAGACAGCTCTCCACTATAAAGTAAACAGCACTTCACTGAACAGGTCTGCTTATACACATGAGACAGCTCTCCACTACAAAGTAAACAGCACTACACTGAACAGGTCTGCTTCTAAACATGAGACAGCTCTCCACTACAAAGTAAACAGTAAACATGAGACATCTCTCCACTACAAAGTAAACAACACTACACTGAACAGGTCTGCTTCTAAACATGAGACAGCTCTCCACTACAAAGTAAACAGCACTACACTGAACAGGTCTGTTTATAAACATGAGACAGCTCTCCACTACAAAGTAAACAGTAAACATGCGACATCTCTCCACTACAAAGTAAACAACACTACGCTGAACAGGTCTGCTTCTAAACATGAGACAGCTCTCCACTACAAAGTAAACACTACTACACTGAACAGGTCTGCTTATAAGCATGAGACAGATCTCCACTATAAAGTAAACAGCACTACACTGAACAGGTCTGCTTATAAGCATGAAACAGCTCTCCACTATAAAGTAAACAGCACTACACTGAACAGGTCTGCTTCTAAACATGAGACAGCTCTCCACTACAAAGTAAACAGCACTACACTGAACAGGTCTGCTTATAAACATGAGACAGCTCTCCACTACAAAGTAAACACTACTACACTGAACAGGTCTGCTTATAAGCATGAGACAGCTATCCACTATAAAGTAAACAGCACTACACTGAACAGGTCTGCTTATAAGCATGAGACAGCTCTCCACTACAAAGTAAACAGCACTTCACTGAACAGGTCTGCTTATAAGTATGAGACAAACATGAGACGCATTACATTATAGATTAAATGACTATGAGAAATTGACATCAGAGAAATGGAGCTTACAGAAAAGTCTAACCATCAATATGCAGCTAAATTTGATGTTGAAAATATAAGTCACAGTGACCTAAATGTCACATAAAAATGAAGTACACAAGAAGACGTGTCTGATACATACTGTATTGATACCTTTTGGATGGTTTGGTGGCATAGTTGATTATCTGCCTTTTTCATGGTGACTGGGGTTCAATTCCCTGATCAGACGTAAACAGATATGGGGTCACCTGCCCGAACACATGCGTTTTCTCAATAATAATTTATATAAGTTGAACTTGTTTCATAATTGTTAATTAAGTTTATACACTTAATGCCATTCCACTAAAATGTCAAGGCTTAAAAATAGAATGTATTGACAAGCTTTGTAACAGAAACAGGAAGTTAGGCTACCCACCCATGGTATCCTTCTTATCTAACGTCTCATCTTCATCACCAAAATCATCACTGTCCTCTTCAGGTGAGGACTGAAGCACTGTGGCCTTAGGGATGGTCACATCTGGTCCTACTTTGACCTAAATACAAAACAGTGAAAAAGTCAAGAACATAAGCATAGTTTTTATTTTACTTCTATAAATCTTGACTGACACTATTTATGGCATTGACAATTTCCTGTTTACAATGCTTCTGAAATACATTAATATATGTTTATTTTGGCAAATTTAGTTCTTGATAAACAAAAATTCAGCAGAAGGTCTGTAGTACAGTATTTCTGGGAAACATGTCATGGAACAATGATGTTTTTATGATTTGTTTATGCCCCATTACCTACTGCATTGACAACAATCATACCCTAATACATCCATGCTGTCAGTTATATTATATACACATGAGATGTATTGCCCCGATTTCAATATGTGACGTATTGAAATTGAAAACCAAGGTAATATAAAGAAATATATATTTCCTCAACAATTTAAATTATCACTCAGAAATGGTGATCACCATTTGAGCACATAGTGATAACACCTACATTCTTGTGACCATTGGATAAATATCATGTTTAATGTCAAATGGAAAGATAAAATAAAGAGGAGTTCTTACCTCCCATGACAGGACGTCTCCTGCCTGAAGCGTGACTCCACTGTACACCTTCACGTGGTCACACAGTATAGAACTCTCAATATCACAGTTATCCCCGATCTCTACATTATCCCAAATGTAGGCGCCTCGTATCTTCACATTCTCACCTACAGTAAAAACGTGTAAACAACACATACAGTCAATACATAATCATCACCTACAATCAGACATATAACCAGTCAAAACATACAGTCAACAAATAATCATCGCTTATACTAATAATAATTATAATAATTTGAGGTTCGTATATACCGCTTTATCACAACCTAGTTCCTAGGTCGTCTCAAAGCGTTCACAAATTATTATCCGTGGTTATAGGGCCTTTGCAACCAGCTAATATCTTTCTCAACTCCCTGGGGAGCATACAGCCGGAGCTGCCATTTTGGCGCTAACAGCTAGCGTTCAACAATTCTAGCGCTGCCCAACCACGTACGGTACTCATTTACAGCTGAGTAGAGCCTGGCGTCCTACCACTAAACTACCGTGCCTATCATGGATATAACACCATCGGGTACTACATATATTAACACTAAGAGATACCACAGCTTCAAAAAGAGTCGTCTACAATGTATTTATTCACCATATAATGAACTTAAAGTACTTACCTATTTTACAGTTCTTGCCTATGACAGAGTGCGAGATCACTGTGTTACTACCGACAGATGTCCCCCGACCAACCACAACATTCTCCTCTAACTTACAACCCCTACAAAAAGACACAGGAGTATTAAACTTGGACAATACAAATACATGAATATACAAAACGGCACCAACTGAAAGCAGTCTAATACTGTATGTTTTCCCTAAGGAGTGATGCTGAGTTCTGAGTTACACGAGACCAACCTTGCCAGTGTTATGTCTTTACTCAGGTATATGTTATGTCGGCCGTATGACACTGTGGACTCTGTACTGTTCGTGTGGTCAGGGACTAGAGGGTAGGTCCACCTACTCATAATGTCTTGACTGAAAAATAGAATAACGTATCATAAATATATCACCAGAATGATTGTTCAAATCAAAACACACAGGCAATATCTCTACTTAAGTATGATACACTGTCTAAAAACAACCAAGAGTTTCTATCATAATGGTTTAATATTTAGCATTCCAAAAAACTGTTTTTTGCTTGGTGTTAATTTCTAAATTTTTCTCACAGCACAATTTACGATGTTGTTGTTTTTTCAAGTAAGAAGACCAATACATTCATAATGTACATCTTTTAAGCCAATTTTACATGTGGAGAGAAATGACTTAAAACAGGAACAGAATGCATTAACTGTGACAAGTTCATTTTACACAACCAATAAAAATTTCTATGTGACGTTTCAATAACTAGTACGATATGTACACTGTCACCTTCATCAGACAAATGACCAGTGAAGCGTATGCACACAAAGGTGTACAATGTGTACGAGTTGTCTAAAAAATTGATGTGGATTCGGCTACGCTTACAATAGTTGTTATATATGTACCAAAATGACTCGATCAGCAACGCTTTGTTAAATACATAGAATGTATTAAATGCACAATACCCGTCATAAGTTTCCATGTTTACATGTACAGTATTAAATATATATAGGATCTTACATGAGTTTCCATTTCATATGAGATTTATGAAACGAGTCTAAGAATTTTTCAATTTAACGAGCCTCTGGCAAGCTAAAATGAAAAATTTGCAACGAGTCTGATAAATTTCATATTAAATGAAAACGAGTTTAAGATCCTTTTAATCACATAATCAAGATTTGTGGCATTTATTCTTGTAAAACGACAATTTTCATGCAACCTTGAAATGTAAAAAGGTGCCATTTTGGCTCCAGGGCGTAAGTCTGTGACGTAATGTACTTGTCCTAGGCGTGACATCACAATTGAAACAATTGAAACTTACAACCAATCACAGGGCTGATAGGTCATATTACCGGGTACATGGGTTAATACGCAAACAAATATGACATGGGTATATTCACTGGATAACACAGTACATTATGTGATAAATAAGAACCCTTCAGGCCTTTTATATTACAGTATATAAGACTCTTGTTATTCTTACCTAACTGCATCATACATTATAAGATTGGAGATTCTAGCTGCATACTCTTCACGAATTACATTCACATAAATAGCATATCCCATGATCTGTGTCAAAAGATAAAAGAAAGTAATATTTTTATGTTGAGCTTGACCACACGACGCCTTCTCCTACAAGCTTAGAAAGTCTCCATGTTAAAATCATTTATTTCATGAGTCTTGCATAGTAGTGATAATTCAAAGCATTTAAAATTAATTTTTAAATGAGAATTTCATGAAAATTTGTGGCAATCAATTAAATCAAATAAAATCTTTTTATTCCTCCGATAAAAGATTACAAATAAAGAGTAAAATGTTGACACTATAATGACTAACACAACATCATAATAGTCACAAAGTGTGATTTGATTAAGCTAAATTCCAGCTTCTGACAAAATATCGTGTGAATAAATGCTAGTTATTTTATAATTCATTAACAGATTTTATTAAAGTAAATTTTACAAATCCCGGGAATGTAACTTTGATATGGATTACCTCTTCACTGATGAGGATGCCCTTGACAAAGTCATCACGAGTCTGGAAGTCAAAGTTGTCAGTGAAGAGCTGGGGCACCTGTGGAGAGCAGATACTGATGTGACAGTCCAGGAGATCGTACCGAAGATTGACATCGCTGTGCTCTGTAATCACCTCCTGTAAAGGGAGACAATTCAAGCGTAAATAGACAGTACCACTTACTGGTAGCAGTTCAAGTCTGAATTTCTAGACATAAATAGGCAACACCACTTACCCCCACATCTTCCACTACACAGTTGATATTCTAGGAAATAAGTAATTTATGGGGGAAAAGACTAGGGTTAAGAGATTATTACACATTTACGGGGGAAAAAACTAGGGTTAAAGAGATTATTACACATTTACGGGGGAAAAAACTAGGGTTAAAGAGATTATTACACATTTACGGGGGGAAAAATTAGGGTTAAAGAGATTATTACACATTTACGGGGGGAAAAATTAGGGTTAAAGAGATTATTACACATTTACGGGGGGAAAAATTAGGGTTAAAGAGATTATTACACATTTACGGGGGGAAAAATTAGGGTTAAAGAGATTATTACACATTTACGGGGGGAAAAA